CTTAAAAGGGATATACTATGGATTCCAAATGGCATTAAGAAATAGCAAGTATTGTCATCTAAATCTGCTAGAAAGAAAGGCCTCAGATAAACTATTCAGAATAAATAGTACTTCTCAAAATACAGAACTGGTTTATAGCTAAAAACCCTACACTGCTAGCTTTCATATTCAGTTAACTAAATATGCACTTTTCCCCCCACTCAACTTGTGTTGAAAAGTTCAACAGAATTTATTTGCCTTAATGTTGGATGTACTTTTTTATATGGCTAATGTATTTGCTGTAATTTCTTTGAAAATTATTTGGGTTTAAATATTTCAACTGTGACCTGTTATCTAGATTTGACCAATCAAACATGAGATAACGTGCATCCTATATTATTTGGTGAGGAAAATCCTGAACCTAAATACATGTGTTCTTACATGATTATCATTTGTTATTTCTTTTTTGTTGTTATTTAGTTGCTCAGTCATGTCTGACTCTTTAATGACCCTATGGACTGTAGCCCACCAGACTCCTCTGTCCATGGGGTTTTCCAGGCAAGAATGCTGAAGTGGGTTGCCATTTTCTTCTCTCATGGTTCTTCCTGACCCAGGGATTGAACCCAGGTCTCCTGTACTGTAGGCAGGTGCTTTACTGCAGAAACCTCCTGGTTAGAGTATTTATTAAATTCTTTTGTGCTTGAGACTCTATTAGATTCTGAATATATGTTGGCAAATAAAATATTTTTACTGGTGGGAATTATATATGTATAACAGATAAATATGAATTATTGTTATGAAAAATAATATGAAAAAGATTTAAAAATTTATCAATAATTTAGAATCATAAAGTAGACTTACCAAATCACAAAGGAGGTCAGATGATAGAAATCTGAGAAAGTTACATTTCATCCTCTATTGAAAGATGAGGAGAAGCTATTATATCAGGAACCATAGATTGGGGACTGGAATATATACACTACTATGCATAAAATAGATAACTAATGAGAACCAACTGTATAACACAGGGAACTCGACTCAAACCTCTGTGGTGACCTAAATGAGAAGGAAATTCAAGGAAGAGCAGATACATGTATATGTGTGGCCGATTCACTTTGCCAGATAGCAGAAACTAACACAACATTGTAAAGCAACTATACTTCAATTAAAAATTTAAAAAGAACTATAGAGAGAGGATTTCAAGTAGAAGTTAACATGCTTTGGAATATCTTGAGGTGGGAAAACCTTCCAGGCAAATGAAAGAAGCTCAGTGTGACTATAGTAGGATGGATCTAGAGACATGCACTGATATTAGAAAATGGCCAGACCTATGGGGCTTTATATTAGATACAGGATATAACATTAATCATTAATTAATCATTTAACACATTTTAAAATTATTTTTATTATTATTTTTTAGCTCCTTTCACTTCAGGATTTTTTTTTTCATTTATTTTATTAGTTGGAAGCTAATTACTTTACAATATTGTAGTGGTTTTTGCCATACACTGACATGAATCAGCCGTGGATTTACATGTGTTCCCCATCCCGATGCCCCCTCCCACTTCCCTCCCCATCCCATCCCTCTGGGTCTTCCTAGTGCACCAGCCCTGAGCACTTGTCTCGCATCCAACCTGGGCTGGCGATCTGTTTCACACTTAATCATATACTTGTTTCAACGTTTCAATGATAGTATACTTGTTTCTATTCTCTCAGCACATCCCACCCTGGCCTTCTCCCACAGAGTCCAAAAGTCTGTTCTATACATCTGTGGCTCTTTTTCTGTTTTGCATATAGGGTTATTGTTACCATCTTTTCAAATTTCATATATATTTGTTAGTATACTGTATAGGTGCTCTTTTAATTTCACGGCTGCAATCACCATCTGCAGTGATTTTTGAGCCCCCCAAAATAAAGTCTGTCACTGTTTCCATTGTTTCCCCATCTATTTCCCAAGAAGTGATGGGACCAGATGCCATGATCTTAGTTTTCTGAATGTTGAGTTTTAAGCCAGTTTTTCACTCTCTTCTTTCGCTTTCATCAAGAACTGTTTAGTTCTTCACTTTCTGCCATAAGGGTGGTGTCATCTGTGTATCTGAGGTTATTGATATTTCTCCTTCAATCTTGATTCCAGCTTGTGCTTCATCCAGCCCAGCATTTCACATGATGTACTCTGCATATGTTAAATAATCAGGGTGACAATATACATTCTTGACGAACTCCTTTCCCGATTTGGAACCTGTCTGTTGTTCCATGTCCAGTTCTAACTGTTGCTTCTTGACCTGCATATGTGATGAGTAGCCCACAGGAAAAGGGAATGCTTGGAATCACAAGTTCTAGTAGAAGTGACATGGTGAATAAATTCCTGAGGGGAAATTACTTCTTTCAGTGTATGTGGAGAATGATTAGAGCAGAACCAAGAGGAGATGTGTGATAAATCATCAAACTATAATATAGCCTAGGTGAATAGCAACAGTGACTATAACGAGGAGGCTGGCAATGCAGCATGGAGAAATGGATAATTTTGATATATTTACTAAGGAGGTAAAGGGGGCTTCCCCAGTGACTCATTGTTAAAGAATCTGCCTGCAATGCAGATGATTCAGGAGACAGGAGTTTGATCCTTCAGTCAGGAAGATATCCTGGAGGAGAGTGTGGCAACTCAATCCAGTATTCTTGCCTGGAGAATCCCACACACAGAGGTGCCTGGCGGTTACAGTCCATAGAACTGCAAAGAGTTGCACACAGCTGAAGCAACTGAGCACACACACAAGAGGAGGAAAACATGTCTGACTTACTGATTCATGTTGAACACAATCAAGAGAGGACAGCTATAAAGAAACGGTCTCATGAAAACAATAATACATCTGTTGCTACTGAGACTGTCAGAAATCAAAGCCTCAAAATTGATGAGCATGGCTGGCTCAAGCACTTAAAAGCTTCTAGAGCTCTTCCCCTAACTCTAAGACTCCCATGCTACGATGAGTTCACCATGAAGTGTGTTGGATTGACACTAAGTTGCCTGCCAACTTCAAGAACATTTCTGTGTAAGAGGTACACTGTAAAGCAATGCAAAATCCACAACCAAGAAGCACAGCTCTCAAGTATTAATTTGGTTCTGAGAAATCTAGGGTTTATCTAAATTAATAGAATCCTGAAGTTTCAAAGAATAGAGCACACCATCTTTCCAGAGTAATCACTTACTTTATATTTAAGAACTGTGGTCCAGGAAGCTGTGTAGGTATCTATAAAAATGGTCAAAATCTTACTCAAATCTTACTAGAATTCCAATGGTCATTATGGGGAATGTTCTAACTAGACAAGATGCAGAAGCATCTAAAACCCTTCAAAATTCTGAAATAGCTTTATTGAAGATTGAACAGGTAATGAAAAATGAAAGACAGGAGGAACCCAGTGCAACACTGTAATACTGGCATGGCTCCTCTGACTCCCCTTTGTCCTCCTTCACCTGAGCGCTTAGAGTACTAATCATCTCTCTAAATTGCTTTTCTACTCTAAATAAACCACAAAACCATCAACAAAAGTCCACCAAGTTAGTGGCCTTACTGACACCCCCAGGTCCAACCTTCCAAGGACAGTGCCCCTGTGGGCTCTTTCCAGGGTCGACAGGACACCAAGGGATTCTCCAACTCAAGTGCCACCAGCCATTCCCTTCAAGGGCCAAGGGAAAATTAAAATGAAGGGGAAACCTTTCCAAATTCTGATCGATACTGGAGCTACATGCTCTACTTTAAACCCCACTTACTCAGGATTCTGGGGAAAAGGACAGGAGCTATTGAAGAGTGAAATTCTTATCAGAGTAGTTCTGGGTCTCTGTCTGCAGTGCTCAATCAAGTGCATAAAGTGAAATTGTGCATTGTCTGTTTCTTTACAAATTCTGGCCCAGTAGTTATTGATCCTTTCTCTCCCAAAATACATAGCTATTGGGGAATGTTCTAACTAGACAAGATGCAGAAGCATCTAAAACCCTTCAAAATTCTGAAATAGCTTTATTGAAGATTGAACAGGTAATGAAAAATTAAAGACAGGAGGAACCCAGTGCAACACTGTAATACTGGCATGGCTCCTCTGACTCCCCTCTGTCCTCCTTTACCTGAGCGCTTAGAGTACTAATCATCTCTCTAAATTGCTTTTCTACTCTAAATAAACCACAAAACCATCAACAAAAGTCCACCAAGTTAGTGGTCTTACTGACACCCCCAGGTCCAACCTTCCAAGGAGAGTGCCCCTGTGGGCTCTTTCCAGGGTCGACAGGACACCAAGGGATTCTCCAACTCAAGTGCCACCAGCCATTCCCTTCAAGGGCCAAGGAAAAATTAAAATGAAGGGGAAACCTTTCCAAATTCTGATTGATACTGGAGCTACATGCTCTACTTTAAACCCCACTTACTCAGGATTCTGGGGAAAAGGACAGGAGCTAGTGAAGAGTGAAATTCTTATCAGAGTAGTTCCGGGTCTCTATCTGCAGTGCTCAATCAAGTGCATAAAATGAAATTGTGCATTGTCTGTTTCTTTACAAATTCTGGCCCAGTAGTTATTGATCCTTTCTCTCCCAAAATACATAGCTATTGCCTTCTCGTCTGTTTTGTTTTGTATCCTGAGAACCTGGCTTGGCAATCATGAAGTTGGGGGCTTCAAAATGATAGGCAGACAGAAGTGAGGCTCCCACTTCATTTTCTGCAGCTCAGGTCCTGTCAGGGTTGCCAGCTTTCAGAGGAATTGTTTGGGTCTTTCTTTCCTTTGCTTGCCTTTGGGAGAGGCTGTGGATCTTGCCGGGGCTTTTTACACCTTCTCTGGGGACTCCTATTGTATCAAAGTGTTAGTGAAATGCAAGTCCACGTGCCTGAAGCACAGTCAGGCCAAACAATACCAAAATGTCAGAGTGTGGAGCAGAGAAAGGTTTATTGAGAGCCAACCAAAGAGATGGGTAGCACATGTCTTAAAAACCCCAAGCTCCCCAAAAGCTCTCAGCAATGTGAAGGCGGGGATCCACTTCTTACCTCATTCTCTGCCCGAGAACCACCTTTCCACTGACAGTTGGCTGTATCTCCCACTAACGGTCGCTCAGTGACAGTTGCTCGCTTGGGGGAGGGGTCTACTACAGAGCCGGCCAATGGGTGAGCAGGACAACTAACGGTAGCCCTTTGGCAGTTGCTTACTTAGGGGTGGAGCCTACATTGTAGGCCATTGGCACCAACCAATGGCTGAGCAGGACCACTAACTGGCCACTGGTAACTGTTGCCTGGTAACGGGTTTAGGCTAACTGCAGCAACACAGCCGCTCTGTGTTACGCAAGGGGTTTTCTTTCTTTTTTTTTTTAATTCGTAAGTGTGACCAGGAATGCTTACCGATTGTCCTTAAGCTGAAAGCTGATGGGATATTGAACAGGATTATTCTATTTTTTTTTTCCCTTTTTTTAAAGCAGCTGCCCTGTGGCCAGAAGTTGGCCAAATTAGAAGCAGACACTCAGAGCCAGTTAGGAACTTTCTTAGGCCTTCTTCCCTATAAACTCAGAGGGAAAGTAATAAAACATTCCATAGACAGACAATCCTAAATTTAGAACATGGGAAGTTTTCAATTTCATCTTACCTAAAGATCCTCTCCCTGATACAAAGAAGCAATTGAAGATAAGATAATTGGATGGGTGTGTCAGTGCCTTGTATAGCATTCAGATTGCAGCCCAATTCTTTGAGGAATTAAAAACAACTGTTCTGTAAATTGAGTCCAACTCTTAGAAGGAAATACTGAGAGAAAGATTATTTGGAAAGCAGATCAAAAAAAAAAAAAATAAAAAAAAAAGGTTGCTTCGTCACCCATATTGGGCTTCCCAGGTGGCTCAGGGTAAAGAATCTGCCTGCTAAGGCAGGAGCCGCCAGACATGTGGGTTCAGTCTCTGGGTTGGGAAGATCCCCTGGAGGAGGAAATGGCAACCCACTCCAGTATTCTTGCCTGCGAAATCCCATGGACAGAGGGACCTGGGGGCTACAGTCCATGGGGTGGCAAAGAGTCGGACACAACTGAGTGGCTAAGCACACATCACCTATCTTGTCTTCTTTCATTATTTTTAAATAGTGGTGAGGGTAAATATTTGAATAAGTAGCCACTGGACATCTTAAATGGCAAAACTGAGGGTGAAGTGATTTAACTATTCATTTTTAAGAGTTAATTTATTTATTTTAATTGGACACTAATTACAATCTTGTAGTGGTTTTTGCTATACATTGACATGAATCAGCCATTGGTGTACCCGTGTCCCCCATCCTGACCCTCCCTCCCAGCTCCCTCCCCATCCCATCCCTCAGGGTCATCCCAGTGCACCAGCCCTGAGCACCCTGTCCCATGCATTGAACCTGGACTGGCAATCTATTTCACATATGATAATTATACATGTTTCACTGCTAAGCGCAGAAAGCTACATGTGTACTCAAATTTAGAAAGAGTAGACCATGCATAATCGGCTTAACTGCTGGTTGTGCTGCTGTGCTGTGCTTAGTCGCTCAGTTGTGTCTGACTCTTCGCAGCCCCATGGACTGCCAGACTCCTCTGTCCATGGAGATTCTCCAGGCAAGAATACTGGAGTGGGTTGCCATGCCCTCTTTGCAACTCAGGGATCAAACCCAGGTCTCCTGCACTGCAGGCAGACTCTTTACCATCTGAGCCACCAGGCAAACCCAAGAATACTGAAGTGGGTAGTCTTTCCCTTCTCCAGGGGATCTTTCCAACCCAGGAATCGAACTGGGGTCTCCTTCATTGCAGACGGATTCTTTACCAGCTGAGCTACCAGGGAAGCCCTAACTGTTGGTTACCCACCATCAATTCCAAATTCCAAGTCATGTCCTGGCATTCTGGAATCCACTTTCTAAACAAGTCTTTCTCCCCTCATCTGTAATCCCAGAGAAACGTTGTAGTGCACCATCTAGGGACTGGCTCCATTGATCTGAGGCTCATTTAGAATATGAAGTGACTTTATATTGCTTTGTTCTAGCTCCTAGTCTCTAAATCCAGAGGAATTAAAAATGTCACTCAGTATTCAAATATAATATCTTCATGGAATTTCATTAATGATTATCTGATAATTCATTCAGCAAACACACCAAAAATTAACATCTGCTTTTGAACTTTCAATCTGTTTCCAGGTTGTAATTTTTAATTATATAGACATCTTTTAACCTTTATTCTGAAACAATGCTTATATTCATGTTATATCCATATGTCATGATACAATAACATATTCTAATATTATAGTCACTTCCATTCTTATTGTTTCTAAAATTTAATATTATAAATCCTAATCCCTCTTCAAACAGAATGAGTTATATTTTTATTTAAAGGTGGAAAGTTCTTGTATTTAAATGAGGGCTTAGTAGACCCAAAAGGACTTTTGATTGCTGCCCATCATCTAATTAGATATTTTTAATCTTTGAATCTCACAATTTCTAGAAAACAAAATTACTTTTGAATAGGTATTCAATTTCAAAGACTTCAAGAAAATAAGAGCCAATAAAGATCTACTAGTAGATCAAAAGGAAGCTTATAATGATTAAAATATTATTTTAAGTTACTATCAGTTCAATTCAGTTTAGTCGCTCAGTCGTGTCCAACTCTTTGTGACCCCATGGACTGCAGCACACCAGGCCTCCCTTCCATCACCAACTCCCAGAGTTTATTCAAACTCATGTCCATCAAGTCAGTGATGCTATGCAACCATCTCATCCTCTGCCGTCCCCTTCTCCTCCCACCCTCAATCTTTCCCAGAATGAGGGTTTTTTCCAATGAGTCAATTCTTCCTATCAGGTGACCAAAGTATTGGAGTTTCAGCTTCAGCATCAGTCCTCCAGTGAACATTCAGGATTGATTTCCTTTAGGATGGACTGGTTACTATGTGGGAGATTAAACCACACTTATGATTATAGTATTAGAAACTTTCAAAGATAATGAACAGGAAAAAAATTCTTTTTTAAAGAGAAAAAGTTAATTTATTATTAAAGAATTGGAATCATTTCACTTGAATAGAACATTTAAATGCTCTTGTAAAATAGCATTATATAAACCAAGGAAGTAAATGATCAGCAGAAGAATACCAGTATACAGTTACTCTAATATCAATAAAACTGAAGTAACAAATTAAAATACAATGTAACTTAAAGTAACTTGTTTGTGTCTGCCATCTTAGCAGTTAATGCCTACTGTCTATGTTGTGATCTGTTAATTATTCCATAATTTATTCTTTTCTTAACTGAGCTGTGTTGTGGAATCCAGAGACAACAAAAACCGCAAAAGTATATGAATTGCCATATCCTGAAAATCAAGCTGTATGGTTAAGAATTCCCGTAATTATTTATGTTTTATGGACAAAATATAAATTTGAATATTTAAGCTATACTTTTGTTTCTATTGCTTTGGTAAACTTTTATATATACAAGACCAAAATATGAGCAATAAAGACAATGTTTAAAAAATTGTTATTTTTTGGTAACAATTCTTTGATCCTTGATGTTGTCCATCAAATTTCTAGGCTCTCAGCCCACACATCTCTCTCTTTTTTTTTTTTTTTTGAATAAAATCTCTCACAGATCTTAAACTAGCTTATATGTTGTGTTGGAGGCATTTTGGCTTTCCAAATGTATTACACATCCCTAACTAACCTCTTGAACTTAACTTCAGCTCAAAGTAGTACTCTTCAAAGTAGTTGATTTTGACAAAATTTCCTTCTAACTATNCTCACAGATCTTAAACTAGCTTATATGTTGTGTTGGAGGCATTTTGGCTTTCCAAATGTATTACACATCCCTAACTAACCTCTTGAACTTAACTTCAGCTCAAAGTAGTACTCTTCAAAGTAGTTGATTTTGACAAAATTTCCTTCTAACTATTGTGGACAATTACTATTATAATTTTCAAGTTAATGGTTGGAATCTTGAACAGAGTGGAATTTTTTTTTCTCTCAAGATCCTTAGGGTTACAATTATATTTGACTTGTATTCATAAGTTTTAAAACTGTGCTTTGTCTCAAGAAATTTAAGTTAAATTTTTCTCAAATGTTTAGATGAGTGGAAGTTATATCATAGAATATTGAGCCCAAGAGATTCTTTCTCTACTAAGCTTATTCCCTGGATAATGCTCAAATACTTTGACTTTTTACTGTTAAGAACCAAGTGCATGTTCCCTGGGGTTTGCCAAAAGGATTTGCTATTTCAATCTTTGCATCAAATCTCAATCTATGTCAACTTGATTCTGTAATTTTATCTTGGACCATAACAAAAAATAGGATGAACAGTTATTCTATGCCATATGTTCATTCCAGAGGTTCCCAGAGGGCAATAGTGGTTAAAAAAAAAAAAAAAAAACCTGCCTGCCAATGCAGAAGACATGAGAGATGTGGGTTCGATCCCTGGGTCAGGAAGATCCTCTGGAGGAGGGCATGGCAATCCACTCCAGTATTCTTGCCCAGAGAATCCCATGGACAGAGGAACCTGGTGGGCCGTAGTTCATAGGGTGGCAAAGAGTCAGACATGACTGACATGACTTAATATGCACAGACATTCATCTCAAAGGAGCCCTTGGTCTATTCAGTAGTTTAAGGGGGGTTTATAAACTCTTTTATGTTATCCTTTTTTAAAAAATCAATTTAACCTATCTTTTCCATTTGACAATTAGTACCAACTAATATTTTACTGAACTAATCAATGAGAATCTCTTGTCACTGAGGTGAACTACCTCTTTATACAGATTTTATTCCTGATGAAAAAGTCAATATTCCACATATTTCTTTTTAATCTCATCAACAATCCCTAATATATTAACATAACCTTTACAAAAATACATATTATGTGAATCAACTCAGAAATCTGGATATCTTCCCCTGTTATTCTGTTATTGAAATAAACTCTAAGGTACTTGAACTGATTCTATAAAATATTTCAGCTTAATCTTATAATTGTTTACCCAGTTCTCATTATATCTTATGACAACTAGAATGTTCTTCATTAGTTAGCATCTAACTTAGTGGGACATCCATCAAGAGAGAGAACTCAGAATTTTGTTAAATATGATATTTGTCTTGTTAAACAGCAATATGTTTATGTAGTTTATGAATTTATGTAGTTTCCTTTACATTGTTGTCAAAATAGCTTGCCTGAGATCCTTGTACACATATTTGGTGTTTAAAAATTATGTCAAGAATTTATTCTTAAATGACATAATCAAATGAAGCAAATACTTTCAGATGAATATAAGAAGTGACATTGAGTACTTTCTACCACCTTCCAGTAATTCAGATACCCATGAATCCAATTATTTAAGCTGCCCTGAGGAGAAGAAAACCTTTGAATAACTCACAGTGATTTCTTTGCTTTAGAAATCACTCCTTTACCCTTCTAAATGCGACTTAAATCATTCTATGCCTTTAGCCTTTTAAACTTGCAGAAAGCTGAATTATCTCAAGTCTAAGATTCTCTGATTTTATACATTCACAGGAAAGATGTGTCAATGCCCAGTACTACAAAAAAATACTGGTATTTATTTAGAAGGTTAAATAACTTTGTCTCTGAGAGGTTAGAGGTGCAGTATTTTAACACGTACGGCCTTTGCCAAGTAAGATTTTCAAGGGACTGTAAAGTTTCCATGACATTCTGTGTTAAAGGGAAAGAGCAGTTAGAACACACTTCAATTTCTGGAGAAAGGAATG